TCCTCCTCCTCTCCTCCTCCTCCTCCTCCTCCTCTTCCTCCTCCTCCTCCCCTTCCTCCTCCTCCCCTTCCTCCTCCTCTTCCTCCTCCTCCTCCCCTTCCTCCTCCTCCTCCTCCTCTTCCTCCTCCTCCTCCTCCTCTTCCTCCTCCTCCCCCTCCTCCTCCTCCTCCTATTCCTCCTCCTCCTCCTCCTCCCCTTCCTCCTCCTCCTCCTCCTCTTCCTCCTCCTCCTCCCCTTCCTCCTCCTCTTCCTCCTCCTCCTCCTCCTCCCCTTCCTCCTCCTCTTCCTCCTCCTCCTCCCCTTCCTCCTCCTCCTCCTCCTCCTCTTCCTCCTCCTCCTCCTCCTCCTCCTCCCCTTCCTCCTCCTCCTCCTCCTCCCCTTCCTCTCCTCCTCCTCCCCTTCCTCCTCCTCCTCTTCCTCCTCCTCCTCCTCTTCCTCCTCCTCTTCCTCCTCCTCCCCTTCCTCCTCCTCCTCTTCCTCCTCCTCCTCCTCCTCCTCCTCTTCCTCCTCCTCTTCCTCCTCCTCTTCCTCCTCCTCCCCTTCCTCCTCCTCCTCCTCCTCCTCCTCCTCCCCTTCCTCCTCCTCCTCCTCCTCCTCCTCCTCTTCCTCCTCCTCCTCCCCTTCCTCCTCCTCCTCCTCCTCCTCCTCCTCACCTTCCTCCTCCTCCTCCTCCCCTTCCTCCTCCTCCTCCTCCTCTTCCTCCTCCTCCTCCCCTTCCTCCTCCTCCTCCCTTCCTCCTCCTCCTCCCCATCCTCCTCCTCCTCTTCCTCCTCCTCCTCCCCTTCCTCCTCTTCCTCCTCTTCCTCCTCCCCTTCCTCCTCCTCCTCCTCCTCTTCCTCCTCCTCCTCCTCCTCCCCTTCCTCCTCCTCCCTTCCTCTCCTCCTCCCCTTCCTCCTCCTCCCCTTCCTCCTCCTCCCCTTCCGCCTGCCTCCCTCCCTTCCTCCTCCTCCTCCCCTTCCTCCTCCTCCTCTTCCTCCTCCTCCTCCTCCTCCTCCTCCTCCTCCTCCCCCTCCCCTTCCTCCTCCTCCTCCCCTTCCTCCTCCTCCCCTTCCTCCTCCTCCCCTTCCTCTTCCTCCTCCTCCTCCTCCCCTTCCTCCTCCTCCTCCCCTTCCTCCTCCTCCCCTTCCTCCTCCTCCCCTTCCTCTACCCTCTCCCCTTCCTCCTCCTCCTCCCCTTCCTCCTCCTCCTCTTCCTCCTCCTCCTCCTCCCCCTCCTCCTCCTCCCCCCTCCCCTTCCTCCTCCTCCTCCCCTTCCTCCTCCTCCCCTTCCTCCTCCTCCCCTTCCTCTTCCTCCTCCTCCTCCTCCTCCTCCTCAGCCTTCTCATCACCATCCCCCTTTCTCCTCACCCCTTCCTTCATCCCCGCCACGCCTCCTCCCTCCCTCACGCCCGCCTCCCCTCCCCCCAGCCGCCAGCCCTTCTTCGTCCCGCTCCCGGCCGGCGCCAGGACCCGGCAGACGCGCTTCCGCTGGTGGCAGAGCTACGCGGGCATGATGCTGTCGGATTCGCCCTACGCGGGTATGTTGGCGGGTATGTGTGGGTGTGGAGAAGGGTATGTGTGGGTGTGCAGCAGGGTATGTGGGTATGATGGCGGGTATGTGTGGGTTGGGAAAGGTATGTGTGTGTGTTGGCGGGTATGTTGGTATGCTGGTGAGTGTGTGGCGAAGGGTATGGGTATGTTGGATTTAAGATATATAGAGACTGCAGGGATAGATACATTTTATTTCAGGTTTAAATTCATAGAGATTGCAGGTTTAAATGCATCCTAGCTATAGAGAGGTTTAGATCCATTTTAGATTCATAGAGACTGCAGAATTAGATACAGTTTAGATTTATAGACACTTAGAGAGCTTTAGATATACAGGCTGCAGCCTTAATTACATTTTAGGCTTACAGAGACTGCAGGTCTAAACGCATTTTCCCAAACGAATGGACCTGTCCTGTAAGCGTCTCCCACCCCGCCCCCCTTTCAGAGGACCGAGCCGAGTGGCACTTGGACAACGTCATGGTGAAGGCCAACGACAGCCTGCCCGCCAGCCTGTACGACGACTTCGGGGGAAACACGAGCTCGCACGACCCCTGGTTCCTGACGGCGGGCGCCTCCACCTCGCCGGCGTGCGGGAAGCTCAACGACCCCGTGATGCTCTTCTCGGGCCAGACCGGTGGGTGGGGCTGGCTTGGGGAAAGGGGGGCTTAAGGAGGGTGTGGGTGGGGTGGGTTTGTGGGTATGTGGGCGTGTGGGTGGCTGGAGATGGGTGAGGGCAGGGTTGGGTCTGTGGGTCGGGGTTTCGTGGGGGTTGTGGATACGTGGGTGGGTTGGGGCGGGCGTCGGGGGGGTTGGGGCAGACGGGTGGGGATGTGGGTGCCAAAAAGCGTGGGTTAGGGAGGATGGGCTCTCGGAGGCACGGGGAACAGGAAATGCTTTAGATGAGTCGGGAAAATAGTAAATAAATACACGAACAGACATGTAAATATTTGTTTATAGATCTATATTTGATAACAGATATAAGGAAGGAAATAAAACGCACACACGAATGAAGGAAGAATGAAGAGACTTAAAGATTCAAACCTTCCAAGACTTCCACCAGCGCTAATTCAATAAAAGAAAAACAAGAGAAAAAATAGATAGAATAACAAAGTAATAACTAAAGAGATAAATAGATAAACTAATTCTATAAACGCAAACCGAACAGAATCTTTCTTTTCCACAAGTTCGTGGAGACGTCGATATCACAAAAAGTATAATGATGATAGTAATTATAATAGTAATAATAATAATAATAATAATAATAATAATAATAATAATAATGATAATAATAATAATAACAATAATAATAATAATAATAATAATAATAATGATAATACTACTACTACTACTACTAATAATAATAATAATAATAATAATAATGATGATAATGATAATGATAATGATAATGATAATGATAATGATAATAATGTAGAAAAGGTATGAATGAGAATGAGTATCTTCACAATACAAGAGATGTATTTGACCGGTTTCGAATTATATCTCCGTCAGAAATACATACAACTGAAGAATTACATAGCATATATATATCACATGTGAGCTGACGTGCTACCTGGCTGTATGTATTTCTGACGAAGATATAATTCGAAACCGGTCAAATACATCTCTTGTATTGTGAAGATACTCATTCTCATTCATACCTTTTCTACATTCGTCGACATGAATTCGGTTCAATGATAGTAATGATGATAATAATGAGAATAAAGATAGTAATGATAATTTTCACCAAGCATGAAGGCTCGCCTCACCATGCGCTCGGCAACTCTCTCCGCAGCGCTCAGGTTCGCGGAGACGTGGGACGTGGCGGCGACCGCGGCGACGGTGATTCAGTTCGACCTGAAGGTGGGCTGCAACGGCTTCTCCCCCGACACGCAGGTGGCTCTACAGTACTCCACCGACCACGGCAAGACCTGGCAGCTGGTGCGTGACCTGTGCGCCCCTCCGCAGGTGGACTGCGAGTCGTTCCACCTGGCCACGTCCTTCAGTTCCTCCACCGCGGGCGAGTGGACGAGGGTCACCGCCACGCTGCCGGAGAGGGCGTTGTAAGGGCGTCGGACGTTGGGTCCGCTGGCTTGTAGCTTCTCTTTCTTCCGGGATTATCGCTATCGTTGTGTTTGTTTGTTTTTATTATTGAATGATACTACCTGATGGAATTAGGCTAATATTGTTTTAATAACTTGTATTGACTAATATTTGTATTTGATTAATTTGTATTATTGTTTTATTAACTATAATATGATGTTATTCTAATATAAGTTTATTAGCTACAATACAGTCTCATTAACGATGATAAAATATAACTATGATTATAAAATGATTTTATCAAGTAATATTATCTATTATTATTATCCGGAGAGAAATTAGTATTTTTTTTCTTCCTTAAAAAAATCCGTATCACCATTATCATTGCCATTATTAACTAAGTGTGGCAACGCCTTCGTATTAATGTTAAATAACTGTTAAATATCAGTTCTTAAATCGTAGAAAAATATTTATGAATTAGATGATAAACTCATTATTTTTAACCGCTTCTCAGATAAGGGATAAATCTTAATCGTCAATTTCCTATCTATTTATCTCAGCGGCGAGAGGACCCGCCTTCGCCTGGCGGAGGTGGAGCAGGAGGGGCGCGGCGCGGGCGGCGTCGCGTGGGCGCTCGACAACGTGTTCGTGGGGGACACGTGCCCGTGGCTCTGCTCCGGCCACGGCTACTGTCGCGCGGGGAAGTGTGTGTAAGTCTGACTCTTAAATGTTTATTCTATTTTGTTATATTTCATTTATTTATCTTTTTCACAAGTTTATTTTGTTTGTATGACGTGCATTTATTATAAATTCAGATAACATTCTGATAAAAAATCTAATAAAATATTACTATCGAAATACAGATTTATTTCGCGCACAGAATGCATCCAATTAATTTTCTTAAAAAGCCTATTCATATTTACCAGTAAAATATTCATAGACCTAAACTCATCCATAGGAAAAGAAACATTATATTCTCGTAAAAACAAACGCATTCGAAATAATCCAGTCCAACTCACCAGTAATTCACAAATGATCCCCACGTAATACACATCACGAAAATACTTCCCAAATCATTCAGATCATCAAAATGACTCAAATAATCTTCCTAGCTGCGACGAGGACTACTTCGGCGCCTTCTGCGTGCCAGCGCGAGTCCTGCCCTGCGAGCTGCTCGACACCTTCGACCGCGGGAGCCTTGACACCGCCCTGTGGCACTCCTCGCAGGGCGCGGAGGTGTCGCAGCGGTGCCACGTCTTGGTGTCGAAGGCGGCCCTCGTCTTCTTCAAGGTGGGAGGGGGGGCTTTTTTATTTTTTGTTTTGTTCTCGTTTTCTGTTTTTCTTTTCTGTTGTTTGTTTTTTGGTTTGTTTCTGTTTCCTGCTTTTGTTTTGCCTTTGTTGTTGTTTTATTTTTGTTTTGTTTTTTTATTGGGCATTTAAGGTAGTTTTTAGTGTATTTCTGCTGTTGTCGTTACTTGTGTTACCCACTCAGTTAATCAAAATAGCATGTTACTTTTGTTCTAGTTATTGTTACTTATGTTTTTCATATTTTTTCATGTTTTTGTTTTTCATTTTTTTCATGTTTTTGTTTTTCATTTTTTTGTCATTGCTGTTACTCTTGGTGTTATTGTCAACTGTTGTTACTGTTCCCTTTGTTATAAGGAAAATGTTAATTAAAGATAATGTAATTTTACGTTTTTATCTTATTTCAACTTAGCTTATCAAAATTATTCCTACCCATTCAGATAGCTTTCAGTCCCTCACTTGAGTTAATTAAAATAACTTCATTAGAATAACTTATTCCGACATTATCTAGTCATTAACACCAAAAAATAATTTAAGATCTCTTTTCACATCACCATTATTTCTATTTCTAATTTCCATTAACGCTAATATTATTTTTTTATACAATTAATAAGTTTATCCATAGTGCCCAAGAGCGGATTTCCCCCCATAATTTCTGTTTAAAGGTTTGGATGTGGAAGGGATAGAAATAGGATTTTATCTTAATCCAGCCTTCGTGTACAGGATGGTGATTAACCTGAACAGCAAAGAAACAAACTATTACTTGAAATTCGCGTTTTTAAATTCCCCAAAATGATATCCCTTACATGGTTTATTTGCCACGGCCGTAGATTTCAAAAGATGAAGCCCAGGCTCACTATCATTCTCCATTAACCCGAGGGAAGAGGACCGTCATGTCTCAGTCACCTCATACCCTGAAGTACTGCCTTGCAATGAGCCAAACACCATAAACATGGCGGGAGATTATCCAAGCTCACCATAATCACCACTGAATGTTCTATAATGATTCCTCATCCAGAATAGTATACGACGTGACAGGTTGTCCAACTCATCATCAACACAATAACACCACAAAACGATCCGTCTCTTATGATAGTGGACGACAATTTAGACATGAGGGGGGATGATCGGGCTCACTATCATCACTGTCAGATACCCACAAATTAATCTCTCTTGACACGATTTTGCACCACAACTCGGACATGACATGACATGACAGTAGGTTATCACACACATACACCATCATCGCTATAAATTACTCTCAAGCTACCACCTCAGACGCGGACAAGGAGCTTATCAAACTCACCATCTTCACTATAGAACACCTTCTAGAATACCTTCTGTCGCAGGACGGCGTGCGGCAAGCCACCACCACGGACCTGGACATGACTGGCGGCCAATACGTCCAGTTCACGATCATGATAGGCTGTGAGGCGCCGAGGGGGGCGCGGGCCAAGAGGGGAACGACCATGATCGAGGACCCTTTCATCTCTCCTTCTGGCTCTTCCTCTTCGTCCTCTTCGTCCTCTTCGTCTTCTTCTTCGTCCTCTTCGTCTTCTTCTTCGTCGAGTGAGCAAGCTAGTCGGCGCTATGGTGTTCTCGTACAGTATTCCGTTAACGGCGGCATTACTTGGAAACTGCTTAAGGTGGGTGGCTCGAGGTGCCGTGTATATTTCAAGGCATTTTGTGTGAGGCTGGTATGATATACAGACCTACAAATTGTATACATTTTCTTCTTTTCTTTCACTCTTCTTTCCTCTTCCATTCAATTCCTTGTTCGTGGCCCATGATATGCTGAGTTGCTGTTTTTTTGTCTTTCATCTTTCTAATCCTTTTCTTTGAAATGAACCTTCCCCCTTTTCGCTTTTCACCCACGCCTGTTTTCCTCTCCTTTCCGAAGTGGCATACATCCTCTTCCAGTCCCTCTCACCACTTACCCGACCGGTGCCAAATCCTCTTGAGGCCTTTAATAATACCCCATGGTCCACAATCTGTAAAAAGAGAAAGGCAGGCAGCACCTGCGTCCTGCCCAAGGAGAAAGGCAGATGCTTGGACCGAGGTGTGAATCTGCCATCCGGTCTTGCAAAGTATTGTTCACACAATCCTTACCCCCTTCCCTCTCCTCCAGTAATCCCTCCCCCTCCCCAGGAACTCCCTACCCTCCCCTCCTCCAGGAGCTCTCATTACCCCTCCCCCTCCCCCTCCCTCAGGAACTGCACTTCACGCCCCTGCAGACGCCCGAGTTCGTGAGCATCAGCCTGCGCGACTTCCCCGAGGCGGCCACCAACGCCACCCGCTTCCGCCTGTGGCAGCCGCGCCACGAGGGCCTCCTGACGCACACGTGGGCGGTGGACAACGTTTTCATCGGAGGCACGCCCGTGTCGCCCAACGCCCTCCACGACGACTTCGAGAAGGCGGCGCCCGCACCCGACGCCTGGCTGGACTGGCCCGGCGGCGAGGTCGACGTCATGTGCAAGCAGTGAGTCGGTTGCTCGCCCTCGGGCTGCCGCTCGGCCCTTGGCTTTGGATTATGCAATTAACTAGGCATACGTTTGTTTGTTTGTTTATGTATCAGTCTATTTGTTTGTTGATTTATCTATTTCATTATTTATTAAGTTTTGACTTGTTC